AGGCTCACCGAGCCATTTATCCCTCCACCCTTCAATTAACCCCACATGTGTTCATCGGCCAGGTTGGCACAATAAACTTTAACTCTATCACTGGGCTAGTTTTTGCAGGGAGAAAACAAAAATATAGAAGACACTCCTATTAAGTAGGATACACCAGATAGTAGATGACAGCAAAAGGCCTAAAAACAGCTGTGCAACCAGAAGTTTGGGGAAGGGAAAGATGAGTTGGAGCAGGAGAGGGACAGAGGACAGCCTTCTAGAACGTTCAGAGCTATCATGTAAGGGGGAAGGGATCAGATAGGTAAGGTAGCCTATGGGAAATAGGAATGCTCAAAGACGGTCCCACTGGTTCCTACAGAACCTGAAGGTGAGGTTGGAAGTTGAGAAGCTTGGATTTTATTCCTGACCCTGTCCCTGACTGACTGTGTAGCTTGCCTCTCTCCAGACTTCATGCTCCTTTTTTTGTAAAATGGGGATGATTATGGGGTGGTCAGCATTGTTCAGGAATCATATGTGTGTTTGAAACGTGTGTTTTTCTAAATTGCTGTATTCCTTTTTTTTTTGTCACTCAGCACATTGAGTTTGAGCTAGATCCTTCCAGATGTGGAATAAATATTCACTGAACACTTACTAATTGTCACAGTTCTAAATGTTGAAGATACAGGCCTCCGCCCAATAATGGTAAAATTCTCAGCTTGCCTGGGCCATGAGTAGACTCACTGGCTCATCTCTCGTTTCTCAGTCTTTACCTCTGTGGATACAGTTCATCCCATGTGGTCCAATAACCCACAGTATCACGTCCATCAACCATTCCTGGTCTTACCACATCCCCTCCTGAACTGGCCCTAAGTCTACACAGACACTCTGAGGCAAACAAAGGTATCCTCAAAGTACCCAGCAATCTTATGATCCTTTCTTCCTCATGGCCTTGAATAAGGTTGTTCTAAAGCAGCCATTAAATAAGTCTGTGTTTCTCTTTGTGTGTCTGTCTTCCCTGCCACTGTCCTAAGAAACAATTTTCATTATGACCTTTACATACTACAGTATCCCCACTAGGATGGATGTTTGTCGGGGCTTTGGGCACTTCTTATTGGCTCTTAATATTGTCTAAGAATTCTTCTTACACATACCATAGGTGATTGACTCTCTTTAGTAGTTTATAAGTTGTATGTCCTACTTTGCTCAGGAAGGTCCAAGCTTATGCTTATTGCCCTAGCATAATTGTCAATTATGTTCATTATCTATCTAAAAAGTTTCTCAGTTTGGACAATGTATTAGATCATCACTCTGGGTTTACATGATTTTGTTTTTCATACATATGTGCTGTCACCCCTCAGCCCCCTCCAATCCCTACTTTGCAGTCTGTGCAGGGAAGTCCTAGAGCAGACAGACCCTTGGCATCTGACCAACCGCCTCAGAGGACAGTAGCTACATTTGAGATGGGGTGGCCCATTTGAGGTAGAGAAGTGGGGGAAGTGCCTATCTACAGTGTTCCCAGTCCATGTGAGAGGTTGTCAACACTGGACGCTTAAGCCAGCAGGTCGCTCAGGGTGCCATCCAACACATAGCTGGACCTCAGGCCTTGGGTCTCTGGTTCCTAGTGCCAGGAGCAGGGGCAGAAGGAACCAGGAACTCTGCTGAGAAAGTTTGAGACCAAGAACAATGCCCAAGCACTAGCTAGCCAGAATCTCCCAACACGGCTGACTGCAAGGATGGGTCCAATTGGAGGCCCTCAGGGTCCAGATGGCACCTGAGAAATGTCCCAGCCTGAAGCCAGGTGAAGCTGAAGTGTGAAGTAGAGCAGATGGCTTCAGGCAGGTGGGGCAGCGGAGGTAGGACCTAACACACAGCCCTAAGTTGAGGTCTCTGAAACCCCAGTCAGAGGGCCACTTCCACAGCTGTATTTTACCACATCCTAAACTCACCTGACACTAGCCACGAGCATCACAGCACAAGTAAGTGCAATTAGTAGACGCCGCTGTCCTTCAGTGACCATGGATAAATAGTGCTTCCTGCAGCAAGCTCTGAGCTTAGTAAGCAGTAGAGAAATGAGAAAGCCAACTTAGACAAAATGGAGGGTTAGTTTTTGTTTTGTCTTTAATCAGAAGCATCAAAAGAGAATAAATTGTGATGTTGACAGCAGCTATGTCAATGTACTGCACAACTAAACCCAGGCTGGCTCCTCCTTGTTCACAAATGGGCTCCCCATATGCACGTAAGGGTGAACTTGTACAGACTCAAGTCTCTTGCAAAACTGAGCTGCTAAAGATTTGGACCCCCAGAAAGCATCACACCGTGCTCCCATTATCTTGATTCTTCGGGGAAATGCTGTTCTCCTAGCCTCCTCGAGTGAACATGGTAGCTTAAGAAACCATTTTCTAAACCATCCCCAACTTCTTTGTCTGCACAGGTAAATCCAAAACTCTGGATGAGATAAGCCCACCCGCACCACGTGCCTCTGACAGTGTGGAGTTCAGCGACCCCTGCCCGGAGGCCAGAGAGAAGCTGCAGGCCATGTGTCGCTATATGTGAGCACCTCAGGCATTGGGGGTGGCGTGGTGTCCTCACAGTCCTCCCCACACCAAGGCTGAGAAGTGATCACCAAGATGGCTGCCAGGGCCCATTTGAGCAGGAAGGTGGGGGCAGGGAGGACAAGCAATATGTCTGAATCATGTCAGGAAACGCTGGCCACTTTGTCATTATAATAGTGAAGATGATAATGTCTGTCCCTTTACACACACACACACACACACACACACACACCATTCCCCATGCCCCATTTGTAATTCTTTGTCCTTACTACATTCTGATGAGAAAGACTTAATTAACATCTGCCTTTTAGTCAAGGGAACCAAGGCAAACTAGGTTGGTAAGTGATTGTCTGTGGTCACACAGCCATGTCTGTCAGTCTTCAATTGCAGTAGTCTTTGTCCCTGCAGTGTGACTTCGCTAGTAATGCTCTTTTAATGCTTGCTTATTTGTTTTCTATTTAAAGACTCTGTGTCCCAACTTTTTATTTCTTAACATAACTTGCTTATGTCCATCTTCCTTAAACAATGCCTCTCCAATAAAACAAGACTATTTACCTGGATTCTTAATAATATTTATGATGAAGGGGATCCCACAAGTCCTAGCACTTCTACACTTCGCCAAAGTCCCTGACCACAAAGGATTAAAAATGTGCAGAGTCTCCAGGTCACCTGTTTGACCTACTCTGCAAATTCCACTCTGTAGGGCATCCTCGCAGTGCCACAGGTGGAAGCCCAGGCAGCAGGCCAGGGCCCGGTCTTTGAGAAGTGCCACGACATTCCTGTTTCTTCCTAAAAGTACAGTCTTTGAGGGTAAAGAGGTGGATCCTTCTGAGGACAGAAAAGGCAGTGGGCATCTGGGGAGCTGAGAATTACAGAGAGATAGCTAGAGCCTCCTTAGGGAGAGCCAAACAGCTAAAAGACATGCTGGTATCTTTCCCTGCAGAGAAGCAGAAAGGACCATGTGGAAAGGAAAAAATATCTGCTACCCGGTGATATTCCGTAACTACAGGACAAAGATACCCCCTCATCCATCACCCACTGCCAAAAAAGATACAGGGTTGCAATCAACCCCTGCTGTGGGTTCCGTCCACCCTCCGAGTTCCACCGCCCGCCATCTTCCCACTCAGCACACTCACCATGGCCGGCATTCTCAAGAATGGAAAGGAAGCAAGAAGCACGTCAAGTTGCATTACACCTTCTATGACGGGTCTTCTTTCGTTTAGTATCCTTTCACCTGGTGTCTTCTGCCTTCTCAGCAACTCAGTCTGACTCCCCGAAAAACCCCAAAGGAAACGGCATATTGTTGAGTTGCTTCCAACCTGTGGTGGCCTCCAATGTGCTAGAGGAGAACTGTGATCCACAGGGTTCCCAGTGGATAGGTTTGGGAAAGGAGATTACCAGGAGTTTCTTCTGATGGACCTCTGGCTGAACTCAAACACTTACCTGAGGTACCCAGGGACCCCCCCTGGAAGTCCAGGGCTTTAAAAAGCTTTTAAGTGTTGACTTTGACTTTGGGTTTTTAGCTGATCAGAGAAACTTAGTGCTGTGTCCTTAAGAGTTCTTCCAGGTCCATCCCTTTACAGAAGGGGAAGAGACGAGCCAGTCAGGGTGCGATGTAGCAACGATGAAACATACAACTTTCCTCTAGTTCCTAAATGCTCCCCC